CGCACGCGCCCGACACCGCGCACGCGAACTGCGCCGCGCTGCACCGCGTCGCGTTGTCCCCCCCGCCCCCGCCCACATGACCTGCACAACATTGCGCGTTCTCATCGATATATTTAAACTTAGTACACTTTATTCATTACACTTAGAACAGATATTAGATTTATATCTAATCTAGCTGTTGACCGCGACTTCGTCCGCGTGAAATTTAAAAGTTCAAAACAGGACAAATTTGAATGAAGCCTAAAACACGTACAGCTTCTTTCTTAGTATGTATTTACTTAGTAGTATACGTAGTAACAGAAATTTTTATGCAATCTATCCAATTTTTGTTTGTGTTCGCGATATCTTCTTAAATACTTGTCCAATTTATATACTGTGAAAGACAATTTTAATCTACATAAAATTCTCCTGACAACAAACACATTTATTCGGATAAAAATCAATATCAAAACGAATAAAACACTACCGCAAATAGGTTGCGGTTTTCAATTGCATTTACTAAACATAAAAGTTTCTAAACAAAAAACATAATCTATACTTTAATATGACTAATGTTTAGGAACCATTAATAAACAGTGCATTTCTGGAATACCAAATTTTAACTTTTCTCGGCTTACGCTGCCTAAGTCGTTCGAGATACCTTTATAAAAATTATGTATGGAAGAATTGTAGATCTCAAAAAATTTTTTTCTGCCAACAAATGCAACCACGCACTCCATGTGCTACTACTGACTATAATTTATTATCGTTTAAAATCTCAATCAGATATGTTAAGCAGTTTCGGAATTATCGAGTAAATACGTAAATAACAAATAACTACACAGAACCCTCAGGAACACGGCATCAGCCCTGATACAAAGTATCCCACATGTTATTATAGACTTTTTCTATATCTGTGCTATATTTCAGTAAAACATGTTTAACCGCTGCGGAGTTATTGAGTTAATATGAAAATAATAAAAAACACACATCCTTCGGGAACTTAAAATTTTCGGAGATGAAAAGTATACCATACTATGTTCTATATTGTACATGCAAAATCTCAATAAGTTGTGTTTAGTTACTACGGACTTATCAAGTAAATATGTAAATAACAAAAAACTGCGTATCCCTCGGGAACCTGACATTTTTCGGGGATGAACCTTATCCCATGTGTGCCCCAGACTTTGTTTTATATTTGTACCAAATTTCAATAAGATATGTTGAACCGTTGCAGGATTATCGAGTAAACATTAAAAAACTAAATTAATGAATCCCACGGGAACCGTAACCGTTCGACCGTTTAGGCTATAAGCGCTAACAAACATCCATCCATCTAAACTTTCGGATTTATAATATTAGTAAGAATTATATTTATATTTATATCTTACTAATATTATAAATGCTAAAGTTTAGATGGATGGATGTTTGTTAGCGCTTGTAGCCTAAACGGCTGAACGGATCTCTATGAAATTTGGCACAGGTTTAGAGCATAGTCTGGAAGAACACAAAGGCTACTTTTTATCCCGGAATAGTTACGGTTCCCGTGGGATTCATTAAATTAGTTTTTTAATGTTTACTCGATCATTCTGCAACGGTTCGACATATCTTATTGAAATTTGGCACAGATATAAAACAAAGTCTGGAGTACACATGGGATAACCTTCATCCCCGAGAAATGTCCGGTTCCCGAGGGATACGTAACTTTTTGTAATTATATAGTTTGTATGTTTTCTAATACCACGCGGACGAAGTCGCGGGCAACAGCTCGTATAAATATAAATATAAAATAAATAATAAAGTATTAGTAAGAAGAGTTTCCTTTAAAAATACATGAAATCTAGATAGGCAAACAAGCAAGAGGAACAAAAAAATGTTAAAAGTCACCACAGTGCAGGGTCTCATCGGAGCCGTCGCTGCAGTCGGC